CTTTTTATAAATTTTTATAAAATATTTCATGTTATATGCTTTATATTATTATATATTGCTAGCATATATCATTAATTTTTAATGTTTTTAAATGAAAGTTGATAACCAAATTTTTTTTTATTTTTCACATTTTTTTCTTATTATTTTCTAATTTTTTATATATTTTTCATATATTTCAATTTTATAATGTCTAATAAAAGTGTTTATACCATTGAAACATCGTGTTGATGTTCGTACATATATTTAGCATTTTTCGAGAAGTCAAAAGATTTTCGTAGTGGTTCATCTTTTCCACAATATTTTGTATCATGAATAGTAAAATTATTGTTTCTATTTCCATTGCATTGTGTTTTGTTCTATGAATAAAAATATCTAGTATTATTTCAATAATATGTTTTTATAATTCAAACTTAAAATGTATTAAAATTATACTCACTGTTCTTATATTATTATTCCTGCCTATATTACTGAAACAATCAGACAAGATTTCAGGTGTGATCACCATGCCTGAAGAAGTTGCATTTGACACATATTTTTTTGGAACTTTAGATTGAACTGTGTTATATTGCCCTAAAAAAAATATAGGCAGAATAAATAATTTTGACAGAAATATCAAGTCACATCTTAATTTATATAAATATTTCATATAAATTACCAAATTAAGTTTTTAATAAAAAAATATATGCCTTGAAAATTTGTAAAATATAAAAAATTATTTGCAACAACGAAATTTATTTATCTTTGTCAGTTATAAGAGATTTACTGTAATAATACATTAATCTTATACTTTATATAAAATGTTTATAATGTTAATATATTTGTATTAATCTGTACCTAAAAGATGTGAATCTATGCAATAATGATTTTTATTGCAATCCGCATCTATTCTTTCTGGAGATAATAGTGATCTGTCTTCAGGAGGCGAATTAGGAGGTATGGGCTTTGTATGAATTTTTTTTGTTTTCATATCCGAGATGTTTGTTTTTTGATACTCTTCTAAATACAACAAAAATTCTCGATACGTAACATAATTCTAAAACAAGTAATATAAACCATTATTTTCAGTGGTTTTAAATATGTAACAGTTTGTAACAGCTGCTCAGAAATAATACTTTATGTATTAAATAATAGATGAAGATGTTTCTTGGATTAATTAAAATGAAATTACTTTGTCTTCTCCTGCCCAATTGCGATTAGTCGGTTCGCTAAGTCCAAGCAAATCGATCCAGCGATAGTAGTCTTCAGTCTGATTGCCGTACCAATATTTTATAATAACAAATCTATAATAAATTATTATAATAATTACCATTTATTTATAAGTTTTATTTTATATTGCCTATTATATTAATTAATTAATTTATAATTTTCTAAATTATAAATAAAATTCATACGCAAGACCATCATCCACCATTTTTTGTACTTCAGGATAAGACATCAATTCCATAAATTCTGGATTTTCAGGATTTCTTTTGACATCTACCAATTGCCATGGAGCTATAAGTCCAAATCTAACACATTTCAGTACTTCTAACATATATTGTTTTCTTTCATTCCAATTATGCATTAACCATCTTACAGCAGACATTAAAACTTCCATTTCGCTATAAAGGAAAAAGAAAAGGATTAAAAGTTATATAAAAAGTTATATAAAAAAAATAGATGCTGTTTATTATTATACACAATCTGTTTTTAATAAATAATTTTTTATTAATAAATAAAATTACAAACACATGTCTTAAGAGTAATTATGTGGATTATGTAATTTTTTCTTATAATTCTATCTTTTTATATATAAAATATATCTAACAAAATATAATTATACCTATTGACGCAAATATAATTAGATTTTAATAATAAGCACAATTCATCCATTGACAATTCCAAGAAATCCTTTGTGCTAACAAGCATTAAAAAGAATTTCATAATTCTCGGTATCATTAGTTCCATTACTGCAGTGTTTCCGATCTTCTTTGCTTCCAAGTATAATAAGAAAGCAGTATCTTCGGAAAAGAGCTCATCATTGTCAATAAATGCCCAGCATTGCTCTTCTAATTCTTTATGAGTTACATGTTTTTTTAATCAGAAATTCATTTTATTAAATGTTTTCATATTTTACTCAAATGTTTTAATTAAATCTTTTATCTCTATATTTAAAAAAATTTATTTTATTTCATAATAAAAACTTAAAATATGAAGTAAAATCACACCTTTGATACCGAGATATTGTGCGGCCATAAAGATTTCTAGTATATTATCTCTTCGTAGCAGTTGATAACTTTCATTTATTGGACTTATCATCCAGTCATAAATAATAGAGAAAGCCTTGGAAGTCACTCTACTCTATATTTTACCCATATAACCAATCATATTTTAATAATGTTAATTGTATTGTTTCTCCATTTTAAATAAACAAATTATTAGAATATTTTGTATAGAACTCTTTCAAAGTTTAAGACACTCAATTTTT